ATCATCTCCAATATAAGAATAAACAACTACAATTCATGCTCATCACAATGAAGCAAAATGGCAAGGAACGTGAGATGTGTACAAAAAGGGAAGATATACAAAATCTGACAGGTGAAGAAAGGAAAGTGAAAAAAAGCACTGGTCAGATTTGTTGCATACGTCTTATAAAATCTTCTACCTATGAACAACACTGAGAAGATACAACAGAAACCCTGAAATCATTTGAACCACTATATCTGAAATAAAATTGAGGATGAAAGTTTGAGTGATCCAAAATCACCCTTGCCTAAAAGAAAAACAATAAATAAAAACAATTAGAATGACAAAAGAAAAGAGTAAATAAATCCAGCCAACCATTTTCCCTTACACCAAGAACTGCAGATACGAGTCAAATAACAAACTCTCCTTCTCAAAGAAAATTGGTGGAAACTGAAAGATAGATTTTAAGAAATATCAAGCACATCTCAGCCAACCCCGTCAACGCAACATAATGCAGAAATATTTATATCCAAAGCAATTAGCTGACACGCAGATGAAATTTTACATAGTAAACGCAAAGAAGAGACTTGAGTGGCAACAAAATTAACAGGGGAGAATACCATTATAAACTAAACACATGCAAATTGAAATCAATATATATTGGGTTCTACAGTTTTTTTAAGCCACTAAAAATGCAAAAGTTAAGTGCAAAAAATGAATTTGGATCCACCTGATAGTGAGACTTCTCAAGAAAACCCAAATTTTGTCCTACAGACTAAAGCACATATTGCCTAGTCACCCAGTCGTAGTTCGATCCATCAAACAATCTGAATTAAAGAGCATTTCTTAAACAATGGAATTAATATCATAATGCAACAAATTTGGAATATGGAACACACCTCTGGACTCCATACAGCACATTGTTGATGAACCCAAATTCCTGCTATACCAAACCGATCATTGATAGGACCTAGAAGCCGCCCAAGCCATCCAGATTGATCTCCAAATCCATCCCATACATCATAGTTAGGTTCTTCTGAAGCAGAAGATCCACTGTAAGCCTCACTATCACTGCCAGTACCTTCCACTACAAGGATTTTTGGAGGTTTCCCATCTGTGCCACCCCCACATAAACCACAGCGTCTTCCCAATTTTATTCTCGGTTTCCTGTCTGCAACATCTAAAACATTGTAGTTCCCCTTCGATTTGTTAGAGGTCTCGTCTTCACGATGGTTGTCAATGGTTTCATCTTCAGGAGGCTTATCATGATGCACCCGGTCTTCTTTTGCTTGGTCAGCTGTCGCACAATCGACTCCAGCAGCATTACCTTGGTCAGGCAAAGCATCAGATGCAAAGTCTTCCTGCACCGTACAATCTTCTATGGTCTCCACATTCCCATTGGTATCACATTCTCCCAATCCTGGATCCCTTTGAACTGCAGTCTTGTTGTTCTCATCCAACTGTACAGCCACATAGCAAACTTCTAATTCAACTGCATCTGAATCCCGTTCAAGTTCGCACTCCTCTACCTCGTCCTGCGCTGAAGCCACACGGCCTTTTATTCCTGCAACTGCATTTTCGAATTTCAATTCCACCTCCAATTGCAGTCCATCTTCATCATCCATCACTTCGATACCCTCATTCCTGCTCTTTTCTTCACCACTATCCAACCTGTCTCCCAAATCGATCCCCTCGTCTTGATTTTCCAAAACATTCGAAGCTTTAATTCTTCCTGGCCTCTTTGATTTAACAATTGTTGACTTCTCACCCACCGACGCTTCTTTATTTTTGTAGCTCTGCAGTTCCACTTCATCCTTCGAACCATCATGATCATCAAAAAGCTTTCTCTTACCCTTATCTGAAGATTCTCCTCTATGTCTCCTAGAAAATCCTGCACCCATTCCCCTAGATCTCAACCTTGGTACCCAACTACCAATCTGTTCGTCCAAATCCCTCGAACTCGAGCACGGTGTCTCACAATGTGCCCTATCTCCTCTTCTGACCTTATCCACACCACTGGTCATATTCCTATCAACCCTTCTGCGCTTTTTTGGCGGCATAGGTGATGAATCAAGCAACACGGGGGCCTTCCGAGCCCTGCTGCTCCTCCGAAGCTCCAATTCGTTCCCTCCGTTATTGAGCTCGCTTGATTCAGCCTTTTCAGCCCCTCCATGGCTTTTTGTGTAAGCTTTCTCACAAATTGAGTCTAGTTTCTTGTGCTTTTTCTTACCCTTGAACTTATTCCTGAATTTCTGATCCTTCCCTCTCTGAACTACAGATTCAGACCGGGATAAGCGCATACCTGTAACAAGAATAAGAGCAAACAACAGTGCGCGCTTACCTATCTCCTTCCTCTCCTCTGCTTCCCCAGATAATTTCTACACCTCGCACACCATACAAATTTAATTCAAAAAGGGATTTGGTTCAAAGGGTTCCCATCGTCTGAACGAAAGCAAATCGGAGAAAATGAGGCGCGCACAAGACTGAACTTCAGCCACTCGATCATACAGAGGAAACGTCAACGAAACACCATAGAACCCTAGAATTTATCACACTTTTTCATCTCTCTTTTCCTCCGGCAAAGCTCTAGAAATGAGAATTTCAGAGTCACGATTATGATTGTGTGCAGAAAAATTTGTAATTCAATTTGGGAATTTCTTGCACTTTTAGGGCTTTTTTTTTTTTTTTTCCTCGGTGTGCTGTTACAAAAGACTACTGAAGGGCGGAGGTATTGAGAAAGGGTTCTAATCTAAACTCGTTCGGAGAAAAATGGAAAATATATAATGATTTGTGAGGGCCCAAACACTCGAGCTTTACGCGCGTGCATCACACGGTTTAAGCAAAAGGGGAGGAGTGTAGACCCAACACAAGTGCTTTTTTATAGTGAGGTGAAGGGTTATGTTGGTTCATCGGAAAGATTGTGAGAAACGCGCCAACTGGAGAGAACGGGGGTAGTATGGAAAAAGGTCGATTAATACAATTTTTGTCGATTTTTCCCACCTAACGTTACCGCCAAATTTGGAGTATTTTCATTTCCTAGCCCAACCAATAAAATAACATTTTTCTTTTTTTTTTTTTTTTGCAAGAAAGGAAGCAATATTGGTAACGCTTGATCACGACTTGACGGGGTTGAGACACTCCCACGTTGTCGTGAAATAACCACCAACCTGCCCCCTCCGGCGGGCTATCAAATCGGTGCAGTCCACCCACTCCTTGAGCTGCCAAAGAGGCCAAAATGTCTGCCACAAAATTAATTTTCCGATGTCCGTGGACAATCTCTATCTCCCAAGGTCGACCCATCAAAAAATATAATTTAACATTAATTTTAGTTATTTATTTATTGTACTTTGTATAGTCACTAGTATTCCACCTGTGCATTTGCACAAATATAAATAAAGTATTGTATGTTATTTGTATGCTAATAATGATTAATAATTTTTCTTGCACTTTTACAGGCCAAATTTACAATTAAAGGAGCTGGAATATTTATTTTTTTAAAGTAAGTTTATCATATTAGAATTAATGTATATTTTGGTATGTATTTTTTTTTTTGTGAATTATTTATTAATTAGGAATTCAAATACGTTTTTTATTTTCCAAAAGAAGTTAATTTAAATGTAACCACAACAATAACATCTAATCACGTTAAATAGTCAACACATTATATGATCAGCTGTAAGTAAATCAAAAGTTTAAAATAATTTTTGTAATTTTAAAGTGATTAATGTATTGATTATCTAATAATTAAATGAGATGTTACATAAATAAAAAGTAACGATTTTTGGAGGGAAAAATTATATTACCACATAAGTATAATTTAATAGGTTTTATTAAATGCTCATGAGCCAGCAATTATATATATATAGATTCATTTTTATAATTTAATATAGATTTTATATATTTATTTTGAAACCATACTTAAGAATATTATATTGTAGATATTGACATTATATAATTTAAAATTTATTTTACTTACAGAAAAAAGTTGCAGGTGGTGAGTAGAAGCCGATTTCTGTTGGTATGGTTGGGAGGCGAATAAAATTTTTTTGTTTATTATTTTTCAACAATTTTCTAATGTTTTATTGAGGCTTCTTTGGATCAAGCTTCTACCCTTCATTCGGCATTTAGATGATTTATGTTCAACCTCCGGCTTGAAAGTAAGTTCGACGAAAACAAGAATTTTCTTTTCGAGAAATGTATATGCGAGTCGTAGAAAATAATTATCTGATGCTTTGAGCTCCACAAAGGTGGTTAATATAGGAAATTATTTGGGTATTATCACTTGACTAATGTTGCTGAACTCGACAAATGGTGCTTAGGTGCATCTTACTTGTACACTCCAAAAATGTATAATTTAGGTGTATCATACCATTGATACAGAAGAGTTATACTTCTGACTTTCGACGCAACTATCTTTTATTTGTTATGTAGCAGTTTCCCATGAATTTCTTCACTCCACCCTGTGGGCATTTGCCCCTAAGGGAGTTTTAACTGATCGATCAACACACAAACCACACAAGTCTGTGCTAGTGTGCATGAATGGTTAAAATCCTAGTTGAACTAGGATAGTGACCACGAGACAGGGTCGACTTCGCAGCAGTTACTTGGACTAGGCTACAAACAATCATCAAAGGAGAAGTCTAAAAATTAAACAAATGACCCCCAAAGCTATCATCAACTCATCACTTCCATTCTCTTTTCTTGGACAGTACTATTATCCTTTCATTTTTAGTTAAAATTTCTAAAGAGAAGGCCAGCATCAAGCATGCATGAAATAAAAATAACCACAGCTTAATTCCTAAAAGAGCTTTCATCATCAATAATTAACAACATTCGGATTTTCTTCCTACAAAGCTGTGCCAGAAGTCTAAAAACGCTTTCCCTGCCCAGTCCATAAACTTGGCACCTAATACATAAAAAGATAACCCACAACAATACATAGACAGACCAAAAAGCATCGAAAACAAAATCCTAGATTTTATATGTTTATACCGAGAAGCCAATGACAAAATTATCCAGTCTTACTCCCCAACATTCACTAGCTCGTAATCAACAAGTGAGAGATTGTTGTCGGCTTTCACCACAAATGCAGCAGGTTCAGTGACCTCGATGCGGCCCCACTTGTCAACAGCCAGCCTCATGTTCTTCCCCTTGTACATGTCAATCTTTGCATTTCTGATGATAACAGTATTTCCAGGCTTCATCATATCAACTGATGACGAAAAATAGACATGAATGAGAATAATTCTTGCATACTCGAAAGTGCATTTTTCTCATATAACACAAAAAAGAAAGAAAAAAAAAAAACTTTGACCAGTGGGGTTATCGAGAAACGTGAGTGCTTCTACAAGACAGAATAAATAAATTAACAAGCAGTTCTAAGTTTACCAGCACGACAACTAAAGAAACAAGATGGATTAAAGACCCAAAACACAGAAAAGTCCATTGTGAAAATCTCTTGTACTTAGTATAAGCCATTGCAAACAATGAATATTACTTCAAAATACCTGGACTGGAACAAAACGTGAGGAAGCTACAAGCTTAAGACATGTACATACTGATCTCAGGTTCCAAAAGAAGCATGTCCGACATAGTAAAGTAATATTTTAAATGTAAAGTTCCCAGTAAAATGCAATGCATTTTCAGACTTTCGGTCGAGAAAAACAACAAACTGCAGAGTCAATCTCAATCATGCTTGGAAATAACACAGTCAAGGCCTCCAAACCATGTGAAATTGTTTTTCTAATTAAGGAGCTCTGTATTTTCCACATCCATTAATGGTCTACAGCATAAGAAATTGTTGCCACCTCCCCAATATTGTAGGAGCCTCATCAATTTCACCCTCAACATACCGTCTCCATATTTGCTCTAATAAATCCCCAGCCAAGATTAAAATATTAGAAAAATTCAGCAAAACATTTTTACGAACATCAAATCAGAAATTTCAACCTTCGGAAGCTCTTTGTTAATTAAACATAACATCACAAACTACCCATCAATTAACAGGACTAAACTTTATTAAGTACATAATAATAAAGCTAAGAGGTACACTCCAAGACGAAACCTTTATTGGAATTATTTGCAATACAAACAGAAACAGACACAGGCCTCAAAAAAATATGAACAAATAAATAAAGCACACACCCAAAATGTGTAACATCGGATGAATTTGACGCCAGGAAAAAAAAAAAATCACCAGAATTGCACACAAGACGCATCATTTCCCCACCTAGGCCATACCTTCCGCAGATTTCTCACGCATTTTTTTAACACAACAAGCAGCATACCTTGTTCGTTGCGGGCGGTGAAGAGGATGGCGGCGGTCTCATCGCCGATGAGACACTCAGCGACGCGGATGTTGCGGGGGTGCGGCGACACGGCGGTGCCCTTCTGCACCACGGTCTCGGAGTTGACCACCTTCGCCACCAGAGTGTGGCCGCTGGTACCGGGCTTCAGGCTTTCCACCTTCACGAACGTCGGTTTCCTCAAACTCCGGCCAACATTATCCGCCATTTTTTTTTTTCCTGACTGCGGGTATAGGAAAAGCCCTAGCTAGTGTGAGAAATTGTGTGGCGCGCTTGTACGACGATGACTTTTGGGCGTGATTTTGGGGAGGGTTTTAATACATTTTTCATTTTATCCAAATTTGAGTTGGGATCCACTGGGCGTGGGCTCACCGCAGGGGACTAAGGGGGTGATTGTTTATGGTTTGAATAGTAAAAAAACTAGAATTTTTTAATTATGGTTAAGTTTAAGAAAAAGTTGTATGGTTAGTTGTTAGTGGATATATTAAAATAGTATTTAAAATAAAATAGTTAAAGTTGATTTGATGTAAAGTAGGAGAAAAATGATTGGAAGTGATAGTTAGTTAAAATTAGTTAGAATTATGTGAGTGGATGAATAGTGAATTAAAGTTGATGTGATATGTAATAATGATTTGTTGATGTTATTTAATTATATAATAATATTGGAGATAGTGAGGTTGAGTTAAAGTTGAGTTAAATTTGAATTTGAGTAAAAAAAATTACTGTAGGGATGATAAACAATCATGCCCTAAGTGATCAGGCCATTTAGATTTCGCCACGTGTTATTTTCATTTTAACTGGTCTCGCATGCTCATGTGTATAGGGACGGCAATGGGCCCCCGAAACCCAAAACCCGATGGGTAAAAACTCCATTAGGAGCCGAGTATGGCTAAAATTTGGCCCCATGGATCTGTTAATGGGGAAAAAAGTCCTCACATCGGGTCTAGCGGGGATGGGTCCATTCCCCCTCCCCCCCATACCCGTTAACCTATGGGTATAATGTACCCGATATAATTTGACCCAATATATGTTTTGGCCCACCCCAAAAGACTTAGCAGGCAGCAACACTACTAATCCCTAGATATATAACTAATAAGATGCAATCTCAATTCTCATCCTCTTGCTCTCCCAGTCCCACTCCCCCGCCCACCACACACACTCGCAGACTCCACTCCAGGCCGGCAGCTCCTGCGTGTGACCGGCGGCTCCACCGCTCCACCAAGATGGCTGGTTCCGCTTCCGCGGCCGCGCCGGCGCCGGCGCGAGTGAAATTGGGTTTGTGTCACCCGATGGGTACCCGTCACCCACACGGGTGCCGGGTCTGGGGAAAATCTGAACCCGAGACGGGTATTTTCCCTAATGGGGACGGGTGACGGGGGGGTCCCCCCAGCGGGTTTGTCACCCATTGCCATCCCTACATGTGTCAAAGGGGAAGTCGGGAGTTTTAACCGTTTAATCATCGATCTTATAATAACTACATGTTTATATTAAGGGGGGTGTATTTAATTGGGATTTATAAAGACTTTTAGAAACTTTTTAGGACTTTAGAAATCCTGGTGTATTTAATTTAGATTTCTCAAGACTTTTAAAAGTCTTGAGGTATTCAATTAGGATTTTAAAAAGTCTTACAAAATCCAGGTGTATTTAACTAATTTAAGGTTAGGATTTATAAGGACTTTTTAAGATTTGCTGGGATTTCTAAAGAAAAAAACATGTAGGAAATCCCACTACAAATCCCACTTTTAGACTTGGTATTTTATAGGATTCTTTTAAAATCTAAAAATCCTCAAAAATCTTAAGGGGGGTGTATTCGTTTCGGAATTCGAGTGACATTTAAAGACTTTTTAAGATTTAAGATTTTTGAGGATTTTCAGATTTTAAAAGAATCCTATAAAATACCAAGTCTAAAGGTGGGATTTGTAGTGGGATTTCCTACATGTTTTTTTCTTTAGAAATCCCAGCAAATCTTAAAAAGTCCTTATAAATCCTAACCTTAAATTAGTTAAATACACCTGGATTTCGTAAGACTTTTTAAAATCCTAATTGAATACCTCAAGACTTTTAAAAGTCTTGAGAAATCTAAATTAAATACACCAGGATTTCTAAAGTCCTAAAAAATTTTTAAAAGTCTTTATAAATCCCAATTAAATACACCCTAAATCTTATTAAAAAGTCTTTAAATGTCACTCGAATTCCGAAACGAATACACTTCCGACGGAATAGTACCGTAATAGGACCATAGCATTTCACGTATCAAAAAATAATGTTTTCGTAGGTATCTTTGAATATAAATTACCATTTTTTATACAAAAATAATTATGATTGAATTAGTAAATATCTATATTATAAACATTAATAAATCCGTAATTGATCTCTTCATTGTTTTCTTCTACAATTAATTATCATAAACTATTTTATATTTTTCCTATGTTGCAACATGCTACATTCCATTTCTTTTTTAATTCGTAAATCTGTTATTATAAACGTGTCTTCTTTTTATTTTTCAAAAGTTTATAACTTTTGCATTCGTATTTTTCATTTATATATATCAAATTTTAAAGGCCTACGATATGACATTCATATGACATTTATAAAATACAAAAATTGATATGCATCCTTATAAATAAAATATAAGTTTATTTATCTAACAAAATTAAAAAATAAAACTATAAATTTCCGTATAAACCAATAGCAATTAATTTATATTAACATACCATAAAATACTACGGTGGTATTGAGCATTACAATGATATTAAAAACGAAAAGTAGATCTTAATGAACATTATAATTAAATAATAATAAAATATAATTATTTTATTTCATAAAGTTAGAAAATATTATCTAAATGAATATTGTATTAAACTTTGTTATGTTTTCAATTATTATTTGTATATTTAATTTTTTATGTTATAAGAATATAAATTTCTTGACTTATTTCTTTTGATACAAATATTTTATTTTAATTCACCGGTGTTTTTCACACCTAATATATTTACTGCCAAATAAATTAATTATTATATTTAATTTTGACAAAAATAATTTAATTAAAACAAATAATATTTCATAAAAAATATTTTCAAGAATTAAAACTAATATAATAAAACCTTTTACTTTCTTATTAATAAAATATTTATTTAGCAATAAAAACTTTATTTTTTTTTCATTTTTTGTCGGACAATTAATTATTTTATCAAACACCCAGGTACTTCATGAGTGTTGTACTAGTTACATTCTCATATTGGAAATATTTTTGTTAAAAATACTATGGTTTTGTTTTTGGCAAAATAGCTCGCTATATCACGACCTTTTCCCATATTGCTAAAACATCACGACTTTTGGACCTTGGCGGAGAATATCACAACCTTTGATTTCTTTGTAAAACGATACAAGAAAGTCAGAAACCAGCCATCTTTGATACACTATGAGGGAAGATTTGTAACTATTGAGAACAATAAAGAGTGTTTCAAAGGTGATGATACTTTCAAATTTTCGTTAAATGATTTTAGTTAATGTAACGAAGGTCGGTTTTTGACGTTCGTGTATCGTTTTGCAAAGAAATCAAAGGTTGTGATATTCTCCGCCAAGGTCCAAAAGTCGTGATGTTTTAGCAATTTAGTAAAAGGTTGTGATATAACGAGCTATTTTGCCTTTGTTTTTTTATCTTCACAAGTTAATAAATTGTATGTAATAAGAACCTTTAGAACTCTACTTGAGTCTTGTTGACATCCTAGTTGAGCTGAGTAGGACCCGAGATAATATAAGATCACTTAACGAAGAGAAGTGCCAGGTTGATTATTCGAGTTGGGGAGTTAGGGATGAAAATCAGATCCGAAAAGTGTAAAAGCAAGTGCCAAATGAGGATTGAATGCGACACACAGGCCGAATGAAGCCAAAGTAAAGGACCAATCTCAGAACATAAGAGCCCACAAGACCAAGTTCAAGACTTATGACAAAATGAGCCAAAATATCAACATTGAAGATCCAAGCCGAGCACACTAAGACGGTGGCAAATAATAAAATAATAGCAACTTATACCCAAATGGTGAAAGATGGGACATACCCACCAAATACCTGTGTACGTGCATTAGCTTTATAGGGTCATGTGCAACATTTAATATTTGTCACTCATAGCCGCCTCCTTGGGGAGGCAAGCTAGGCTCATGCCTAGGGCCTCTATTTATTTGGGGCCTCAATATTTTTTATTTTTTTTGTATTATGTATTTGTGTTGGGTTTGGCCTATTTATACAAATAAATGAGTTAATGGCTAAATATAGACTTGACTCATTACACAAATGAAATGTCTAATGACAAAATATGTACTTTGTGTGGAAATTTGAGGTCATAAATATTTCATTTGTTTTGTTACAATGTTCGGTCAGAACAAGTTGTGCGAAAATAAATATTAGTTGCAGTGATATGATTTTTATTTTCATCTCCATGTGTATTTGTGACTGCTCGAATATAATTTATTAAAGATCTTTGTAACCCAAAAGGTAATTTATCAATCTCAAAATATAGAAAAAAACAAAAAAGAAAATTTGTTATTTATTTCAATTATTTATTTATCAATAGTCTGGTTTAATTTTTTTCTGCTATGATTTTATTTGCAAATAGCACTAATTACCACACAACGGCAAAATGGAAAATTCGAAGAGAAAAAATTTGTCTAGGACCTCCATATTTCTAGAGACGGCTCTGGTGTCACTTCTATTTAATGCTCGATTGTATTGCTCGATGAATAGTAACCGACTCACTCCTACTATAACATTCCTAAGAATCCATTGTAAAAGGATACAAAAGAATCTATGTACAAAGACATTTATTTCCTCATTAATTGTAGCATTAGATACGAGTACCCGACCTCGATTGCAAATTTATCCAACTTCACTTAGCCTATTTTCATACAAATTCATCTAATTATACCAAATCAAGATAATTTTAATATCGCGTTATAAGCACTAATTTAGTGCTTTGGGTTGATCAAATATATTGGTCAACAGTTTGACGCTAGAGGAAGGACTTTCTACCGTTTGAGGTTATGATTTGCATTGAAAAACACAAGATCCACAATCAACAACACAACCCTAAAAACAACTAACAAAAATGTCATCATCTAGTCAAGAAGCAGAGTCTCAGCCCCAAATGACTGAGCAACCACGTAAGTGTTAGTGTTATATACTGAAAGCTTGGCTTTGGATTATATTACACTTTTACCCTTTATGAATGAGAAACATGTTAGATTAAACAAGTTCTACGTTCTGTTGTTTTGCATTAGAAAGTGTGGGTCGTCATCGGGCAAACCGAAGATCATGCTATCAGTTACTCGCGAAACAGGAATAAGTGGTTCACAACCCAGATGGACATGAACACCCCATCACGAACGGTTGTAGTCAACTGTACAGTTTGTCTTGACTGATTAGTTGCACTAGTACATTTATGTATTGAGCAGGATCTCATATAGGAGCAGTTCGTTTTATACTGATCGTCGTAAACGAACTAGGCCTCGGTTAATTACTGCGTACTCTTAACCCTTAAGATATTAAACAGACATATATGTGTAGTATTTATTACTTTGATTCACATGGGTGAGGCTTAGTGAACTGGCAAATAAACCTGTTGTCTTGGGTAATATTGCTACATGTAGGATGTGCTGTTAGGATATTTACGGTCACCATGTGCGTTAGTTTGATGATGTCCCCGGAGTGAGTTCATGATGGATTATTATGCTAAACCCTGCCGATGGATTAAATTCCGACATAGTAGTAATATGATGAACGAGCGTTAGTTCCGTGAAATAATAATAAATTAATTAATTTTTGATTGTCAGTAATCGAATTAATTAATGGACATTATATCTTAAAAATGGGGAGATAAATTGAGTAATTATTATTGGAGTCTCAATTGTAAATTGGGCTAGGAAAAGGGAGTGCAATAATATTATGTTGGTGGCCAATTTAATATTATTTAATTAATTAAAATAAGTGACTTGGTCCACAAGTATTTAATTAATTAAGGAGCCCTAATCCTAATCTCCTAAGGATCCCTACTGTAGCTCTATATATACATCATTAAGCTCATGGGAAGAGATGAGAATTCCACATCTTGGAAAATCACGCCCCACGCCTCTCTTATCTCTCTCAGTTCTCATTCAAGCTTTATCTTCTTCTTGTTGTTCTACTGGTACAAGATTAAGAGGTGTTTGAGATATATAGTAGAAGACCTTTGGGTAAAGTGAGACGAAATATATTTTGCCGTACAGAACTAACCAGAGGTCCGATCAAGACGTGCAGCATACCCAGACGACCGTCTCGACGAGAGCTTTCCAATGCCGCTGTAAGACGCCGCACGCACCACCGGAATGTCCTAGGACTGCAAGCTTGTTTTCATCCATTTTGCACTCGTTTGATCCGGTTTTCGATCTGATCTTGTTCGTGCAATCCTAAGACGTGATTTGTAGTCAACAATTCATTGGTGTGTTGTGTACGGCCATCCAGAAGATCAGTCATATCGCCATAAATTTTAAGCCGTAAGTTCTCTACGCAAACCTTTAGATCCGTTGTGCATAGGTTTACGTTTTGCTATTGAATTCGTGATTTGTGCATAACGAGATCTTCATTGATCCCAACAGTAAGGCGGCTCCCGCCATCGACTTCACGGTGATGTTGCAAGAGTCAGAGTTTCTCAAAGGCATGACCAGCCGCATGACGCGTGTTATTCTATCTGTGTTACACGCGTCATCTCCACTAGTGATCGACATGCTCAAAACACCGATAAAAAAGACCCTCATCCCGTTGGAGACAATGGCAAAGGACCGATGTAGTCCAAGGCTGCCACCTGATCGCCGGACGGAATGGCGTAGAACCGTAGATCCGACACGGATGAAAGATACCGGAGAAAGTCAGCCAGCGACCAGACGCAAGGACAAATACCCTAACCCTTCGGTCTTTACCCGACTAAGGAAGAAGGAGGTCGATCAGGATCTCAGGTAGAAAATCTTGAAGGACATGTCGTCTAAACGCGGCTCTTATAAGGTTGCCACCTTAAGGAAGAGAATTGTCGAGCTCAAAGCTCGACAGAAATACGGAGGCAAGGCACCTTCATCAACCTCACTATTTTTGAACGACCACGTCCTTGATACGACCTTACCACTGTCATCCGATGTCTTAGCAGCTCACTACCAGAGAAAATCAAAGTACCCCAGATCAGGTTATACGACGGCAATTCCAACCCAAACTCTCATCTCGGGCTCTACGCGTCCCGGATGGACCTGCATGGGCCTAGACTCCCTTAGATGTAGGATGTTCTCCTTAGCATTGGGGCCCAAAGGCCAATAGTAGTACCACTCTCTCTATCCTAACTCTATCTCCACCTGGCAACAACTAAGTTTGTCCTTTATGTCGTTCGGTTCAACGAGCGAGTTCAAAACATAGAATCGTGTCATCAATAGACGTTGTTGGTGTCAGCATACTTGGGTCTAAAATCCAATTCGATGTTTAGGTGGTCGTTGTGCAAAAATAAGCCGACCACATATCAAAATTCTTCTCCCGAGTTCGACAACACGTTATGGCAAATGAGTCCATGTTTGTGCCGACCTTCGAGGTGTCTGGGGTTGCAGCTACGACGGGGAAAGACACCAAACAAACCCGGGACTCAACGAAAGAAGCCCAAAGGGCGCAGATCTGAGCTCTCAAGAAACAACGATAGGAAGAACATAAAGAGAATTATCAAGGGGTATATTCGGCCAGGGCCGCAACTATATACGGGGAGATCTAGAATAATGGAATCCTGCTCGACCCAAAGTCGATGAGAACCGACGAGAGTAGGCTCGACAAGTTGAGGTGTTGTGGCTACCGCGAATTGCACGGGCACAACACCGACCAGTGTCAGAACCTCATCTCGGCATTAGTAAAACTGATCGGAGATCCACCGGTGAGAAAGTTCACTTGAGATCCCGAAGGAAGAAAGAGGGGCTGGCCTGACGGTGACCCCGACAACGATGAGGACGAGGACCCCAATGAGTTTTTTTTATATACAAACACACCTTACTTTATATACTCAATTCCTATACTCAAAATATACCTCAACTCTACTATCTCCAATATTATCAATATAATTAAATAATATCAATCAATCATTCTTACACATCACATCAATTTTAAGTTAATATTCATCACTCACACAATTTTAATTATCACTTCACATCATCTCTCATACTTTTAAGTCAATAAACTTTAATTATTTTATTTTAAATATTATTTTAATATAAATCAAAATTACACCAACAATTAATCATACTCTTTTTTTAAAAAAATTGAGACTGATTAAACAAAAAAAATCTCATTTTGAATATGCAAATTACAAATACGCCCTTATTGTTTCAATTTTCATTGAACCATTTTCCAATGATAATAGAGTTGTAACATAACTTCACACCAATTTTAACAATAAAAACATGTTAATCGCAATCCCTTAATTTTCAGAAGAGTTGTATAGTATTACCAAATTAATTTTTAACTTGGTTTACCGAGAAACACATTACAAATATCAAGAGGGGAACAAACTCTCATTTTCAGCATCAAGCCATCAACTTGAAATCCACATAACAATGCAAATACGAATTGTATCCTATCCTCACTCGTAAGGAACTGGACACCTTTGTGTTTCAGGCCCAGCAACCATGTCTTCCCACAGCAAATCTGAAAGTGCCATTGTCACCTCTCCCACCTTACCTAAATTCATTCAAAAGAAAAAAAAAATGATGATAAAAAACATTATTATTGAAAAAAAAAAAAGCTAAAAAAGAACCTACTCACCATCCCCAATAGCCTTGCCATCCCACTCGACAACCGGCAGCACGGGCAGCGTGCTCCCGACGAACATCATCTCAGCCGACCCCTTCGCCTCCTCTACCCTCAAATTCCGAACTCTCACTCCCGTCAGCCGTCCTTCCCGTACCATCCCTCCCGCCAGCTCGAGCAGTCTCTGGGCCGTGCACCCTGCCAGCACCTTCTCAAACGGCGGCACCACGAGCTCCCGCGAGCTCGTCAAGAACGCCACATTCATGTTCGGGCCCTCGGCCACAAACCCCTCCTCGTCGACCCACACCGACGCGTAGGCCCCACGCTCCTCGGCCTCCATCTTTGCCAGCGCGTTTGGGAGATAATTCACGGTCTTCGCTGTGGCGAAGAGGGGGGGCTTCATCGGGATTTTCGACGTAATTACGCTCACGCCCTCACGGCACTGTGAGAAGTCCTCGTCGATGACAACCGCGTAGAATGCCGGGCTCGGGCATCCCCCCGGAGACAGGAGGAAGTCGCCGGGGCCCACACTCAGCCAGTACCTCAGAGTGCCCTTCCGGCAGCTGGAGGCGGCCGTGAGCTGGATGAGAACGCGCTTGAGAGCCGGCTGGGAATATGGGTGCACGATTTTGGCTTTCGATGCAGAATGCAAAAACCGAGCGAGGTGGGCATCGAGCTCGTACAAATACCTATCGATCTCATATGAAGCTGTCACGACTTATACGAAACTACAATCGCTTTACATTGTAATCAATTTTAGTTGGGGGGATTTTAATGAGGGAAAGTTAGACTATTTAATTACCCGTTGAGAATAATGGCTGTGTCAAAGACACCATGGCCACGGTGGACCATGTGGTCGTCGATCGGGATAACCATCATTGCCGGGTCCAATGTGATTCCACCAAATATGCTGGAATACATTGCTCGATAGTGTTTGGGCCTGCCGTACCAATTTCGTTGCAACTTTGAGAGCAACTGAAAAGAAAAGGAAAAAACACAAGGAACAAGAAGTATTTGTCAAGAATAAGCAGAGATGTTTAGGATTTATATCCTAGATATGTGACAATATCGCGAAAGAAGACAAGACGACGAATCCACGAATCGTTCCTTCATAATTCGAAGCATCTGCAAACAATAATTTGTGTTTAATTCTTTAGTGAAACTACAAATGCGTCAAAAGTAGCCCGACTGGAATACCATTTGGTGTACAATGTATCGTACTTTTTAGACCTTACTGTTCTGTATTTGACACACATCTGTAATAAGATAGCATTTCACACATATGCCGCAAAACAATGATAACAGAAAGTAATAGAAACCATAGTCACATAACTAAGATTGAACAGCGTTCATAACCTCATAATAACACAGGAAAATGCTACGGTCCCGTTACGGAAACCATTCCGTTGGGGTTTGTAACCGTTCGATCATCATCATCATGTAACCGTTGGGGATAGTTCATCAAACGGTTACAAACCCCGATAGAATAGTTCCGTAACGGGACAATATCATTTCCCCATAACACAATATACCAAAATTATCAGTAACCACTCAAGCAAGTGAACATAATTCAAACCATGGACATAAACGACTGATTTATTGGAGAACAAGTAAGACAAAACGCAACAAAGTCGATTACTCTAAGAAATTTGTCTGGTCTTCGAGCCAAGATTTCTAACACAGACCATTAAATCACATTCAGGATCAATTTTAAAAACCAAGAAACTGTAGAAACCACTAATATCTTCAAAATCAGAGCTAAATTGAAGTAAATGGGCACCAAAAGGACTAACATCAAACGACGACGAGAACACTGGGACTTTGAATTCTTCACCATCTTCCACCTGTGGCGCCGTCACTGTGTATCAAGAAGAAATATCCCAATTAATTTAATACGGTGTTGTTTAGGTTCAAGTAATGTTAACAAATACGAGGAAGTTGGGGAAAATTAGGTTACCGGAATTTTCTGTGCAAGAAGATCCAGATGCTGCCATTACACCGGAAAGGAAAAATAGCACAAATTGAGCATAAAGGATATCAGGATAACGAAAATGTGCATAAATGTAAGTGCGTATGTATGTTAGAAATTGGAATTTCGATTTATAGTATCGCGTGTTTGGATACAAATATATCAACTCAAAAACGAGTTATTTGGTTAATAATGGTTAGTTGTTTATGGAATTTTGGATTTTATATTAAAATAATATTTAAAAATAAAATTAATTTAATATAAAAGTATATTTATTTAGTTAATAATAATAATTAACTGTTTGTGAAATTTTGAATTTACATTGAAATAATATTTAAAATAAAATTAATTTGATATAAAAATATGAGAGCGAGTGAAGTGATAGTTCGTTAAAATTATGTAAAATGAATTAACGTTGATTTGATATGTAAAAATGATTGTTGATATTATTTAATTATATTAATAATATAACAAATAGTGGTGTTGGACTGATTTAGATTTTGAATATGAATTGAGTATGAGTTGAAATAATTGACAAACATGCACAAACTAAATATGGGATCAAATAGTTGATGATCGAACTAGTGTTTGTTCAAATTAGTGCCTCGTTAATGTTTGAAAATTCATTTCATTTAATTTAATAAACATAAAATTCTAAATGATTTGGTAAGTTTTTTTTGTTTTTTTTTTCCGTGAAACTATAAAATTTTTATAAAAAACGCACAAATGTACAATCAAGAAAACAACCCTTAACCTTAACTGAATGAGACAACAAAAAACCGAATAAAAATGAGAGGACAAATCCAAAAATTGTTTAAAACCTACATAACAACACTAGACAATTCACTCAGAGGACGACAAAAAACTACCAACTCCAATAATGGAGAATCATCGATCACACACGGGATAATACCTGCTCCCACAACACCTAAAACACAAAATACAAACAAACACACCTAAACAAAAACTAAACAAATTATCCACAACATGCAACCAAACCCAACATTAAGCACCAGCGAACCCACGACCGACCCTCGCAACTGATTGGGCCGCAACCTGAGAAACTGACGAAAAACGCCTAACTGAAGCCGCCCTCCCCCCCCTCCCCCCCCACACACACCACACACACTCCAGGTGAACGTAGAGACATGAAACTATATCAAGAAAGAGAGATCGCCGTTAACAGAAAAGTATCAACATAAAGACCAACTGTAAGAGACTAAGAAGAAATATGTAACAATGTTTTTCTTTAATGAACTTGAGATGTCTATTCTAAAGCACAAAATCCCGATTTATACATAAAAAATCGTGGAAAAAATGATAGTTGTATGGTGTTAGAATATCACTTGTGAGTTGTCTCACATCGTTCATACATGGAAAGTAGACCCACCTTATAAGTCTAATGGGCTACTCCTCCTTCCACCAATTGGTTTTAGGATGGAACCCCATTTGTGCTTCATATGGACTTTTCCCGCTCATGGTGCGCTTCATGTTAGTGGGCTCGCACCCATTTTTCCCCAAGTTTCTTACATGGTATCAGAGCCGGTTCTATTGGACCGTGCGATGACGTACCCGTTTATGGGAGTCTGCTTCCCCACGTACCCGTTTATGGGAGTCTACTTTTAGTAGGCTTGGGGTACCCAGTTGGACTTGGGCTTCTCGCATTCGTTTATGGGAGTCTGCTTCCCCACGTACCCGTTTATGGGAGTCTACTTCTAGTAGGCTTGGGGCACCCAATTGGGCTTGGGCTTTCGAAGGACTCACAAGTGAGGGGGCGTGTTAGAATATCACTTGTGAGAGTTGTCCCACATCGTTCATACATGGAAAGTAGACCCACCTTATAAGTCTAATGGACTACTCCTCCTTCCACCAATTGGTTTTGGGATAGAACTCATTTGGGCTTCATATGGGCTTTTCCCGATCATGGTGCACTTCATGTTAGTGGGTCCGCACCTGTTTTTCCCCCAGTTTCTTACATATGGCAAGTAAGGGTGTAAAGGAAACCAACTGGACGATTGCTTTATCGGTTGTTATTTCATACTACAGAGAGATTGATAAAATCAGCAAAATGCGTTTTCAAGTGGATCGGCGCTTAGGCTGGAAATGAGATCGACGCAGCACAGGTTGTACGGGTCTTTGGGCTTCTTTCCATAATTTCGAATAGAATTGTTATGGGCCCATTTTTTATTGTTAGGGGTGTATTTCTTTGTCTAAAGGACCGACCCATATGACATGAGCCTGTAATATGCAATAATTTTATGTACAACAAGATGGCCCCCAGGTTTTTCGGGCGTGTGTGGGCTTGGCAAATCGGCATGCGTCCGGGAAGCTGCTTGACAATTTGTGGAACTCTTGGTGATTTTTTTTTTTTTTTTGGTACAATGGAAGGAGGCCGTAGCCTAGCACAAATGTCTTCATATTTTCCGAAAAGTAAGGAGTGTCGATTATGCCTTGACAGCGAATAGGACATCATAAGATGACTTTTCGTTTGAAACATTAGACTTTTATAGTGGGCCTGGTGCTTCTTTTTTAGAATGAAAAGACATGTTCAGGTGTAAGGACGCGTCGATTGGTGGCATACGACATGAACCGATGTGATCGATTGGACCATTGTGTTGCATGTCTTTAACGCGACTAGTTGCAATGATTGAAAAACTAAGACAAGTCATCTAAATAGAAGATTTAAAAATACTTGATGATATCTTTCATATTAATATGCAATAGAGATAATATAATGAATCAAACCGAAATTGAACTCTATGGTAAATTGTGAGAATCAAATTTATTTTTTTAAAGTATCAATTAACCTACTTAGGTAAATTATGAACTTATAGAAAAATGACCCAAGCATATTCACAAGGTATGGTCCCTTTATATTTTTTTTACCCCTTCCTTTTAACTTGTACAACAAAACGTATGTAGGTAAGCAAAAGAAGAGTAGGGGTGACCACATTTGGGCAGCTGCAGAGATTTGGGAGTTGGGGGCATCATTTAAATCAACTTCCAAAATGCTTGCACCCTTTAGGCAATGGCAAATCGGCGTGCCCATTTCTTACATCATCGCACTCCTTTTTTGACAGCCTACCCTCACAGTAACTGTGCCGCTGATGTTCGCTGTAATTATTACTTTTTACATGGCTCGATGTGTGATCTCTGTGCACGGCCCATTTCGGGCCCCATTCATTTTTTTTCACTTACAAATGGACTAAACACGATCGGCTTGGGGTGCTAAATGGGTAATTGGGAATTTTTATTCGATTAAAAATAATTACTATTACTACACTTACTTAACTTTAATGGTAAAAAATTTAACAAGTCACAACAATTAAAAATATGAATAGTCGTGCCTATATAGTGATGTGAAGAAATTATTATATATTAGTTATTACTACTAGTTAAACAGTTAATAAAACCTATTTGATTTTATATATGTGGCAATTTAACATTTTTTTTGTTAAAAAATTGTTACTTTTGATTTATTTAACCTTCTCATTTAATTATTAGATAATCAACACACTAATCACTTTGAAATTACAAAAATCATTTTAAACTTTTGATTACTGACAGTTGACCATATAATGTGTTTACCGGATAATGTGATTAAATTAATGTTATAATTGTGGTTACATTTTAAATTTAATTTATTTTGAAAAAAAAAGTATTTCAAATTCCTAAATAAATAATTCACAAAAAAAAGTGCATACCATAATATACAATACATCCAATCTAATAAACGCAATTTTTTTTAAAAAAAAAATCCAACTCATTTAATTGTAAATTTGGCCTGCAGAAAAGTGAAAGAAAAATCATTAATCACTATATGTATACAAATAACTCAGAATACTTTATTTACAACTGTGCAAATCCACATGGTCGAATATTAGTACTAATGGTCATATATCAATCATTAATATTACGTAACCCGAATTATTAATCTACATTAATCTTCAATAATCTCCTTAATTAAACACGTCCTATGTACGTACCTAGACTTGTTCAAAACGTTTGAACTTCATGAATTTACAAACGGTTCACTTTCAGTTTCCCAAAGTATTCATAATGCATGAATCAACAATCACTATTAATACCCTCATTCTCATGGAAACCAAATGCACCAATATTCCATATCGAACTTGATTTACCTTACATCAGATTCTTGCTTGTTACAAAGAGCAAAAAGGTGAACGAAAATGGAGACTACTAAAAACTGCTGCACCGGATGCGCTGGAATCGACGACGTTTACAATTGTTTGAACCATGGTAAAACGGCAACCGTCTATCCTCTTGCGACTGTTAAGCCCGAGAGCAAGGTGAAGATCGAGGACAAGGCGAAAGCGGTTACTGGATTTCCGGCGAGTGTTAAAAAGGAAGAGCCCGTCAAGGTGAAGGCGGAAGCATACAAGTTTAATTAATTAATTACTAGGCATGAATAATGAATTAAGGATTTTAAGGAATAATGTTTTTATTTTATGGTTTTATGTTTATGGTGTTCAATGGTATCATCCTAAGTGATGTTATTAAATAAAGTTTGATTGAATAATAATGAATTAATGATATGATCTTGTCTGTGTTTTCAACCTATTTTTATTATCTGTTGAGCTTTTTATCTTGATTTGAATATAGTAATTAGGGTTTTTGCTCAAGTTTAATTCAAATATCCAACAGTCAATCAATCGAAATTCAAGCCCTAATTCGACCACATAAATCATAATTTTCTCACAATTAGATTTGAACAACTTTTCACTTAGTTTATGAACCTCAAAAAACAGTAACATTAAAAATATTCATGTTTGACAAGAGTTAAAAATCAACTCGACTCTACGTAAACCTTATTATCAAACATCGGATACTGAAAAAGCTTGATAGCAACAATCATATGAAAATCGGAACTTGGCAATTAGTACGAAAGGCGATATCGATCATCCACCCTAGCATGCAACCATAGTTTCATACACACACACACTAACAAAAGCCATTACATAACAAAACAAACGACGAAATTAAGTTGGCAACCACAAAGTAGATCTTTCAAACAAACGTATCATTAAGTAGTCCACATGCAATCGAGCAGGTCATCGTTAGCGGGCCATGTTTTCCCATTCTTCTCCAGCCCGGCCCACTGTCCCATGGGCCCATAACCAAACACCGATGCTTCAGAATGGCCGCTGGCCGGAGGGCCATAAACCACCGCGCTGAGGTCTGAAGCTGGCGGCTGAGGAAAATCAAAGAGGGAGGTGCCGTGGCTGAAACCGGTGGGTGGTGCTGATGATGTGGAGAAACAGGGCACGTGCTGCTTTGAGCTGGTCAGGGGACTAATCCAGCTGTCGAGGTCAATCCCGGGCGATGGAGTTGACTTTGGCACCGAGTTGACTTCGGATCGTTTCTTGATGCTGGTGCTACCACCGCCAGCGGCGGTGCAGCTGCCGGAACCCGTTTTTTGGAACACTCGGGAAATTACCCACTCGTCCTATAAAAAAATTCGTAAAAATCCAATTTTGGATGATTATAATTTGATTTAATATAATTTACATAAATAAAATGAATTCACATTTATGTTAGAAGTGAAGTGAATTTTGGTGGTAAACAAATATACTGTAGTAAAATAGTAAAAATTGTAGGGTAAAAGAACATGGCTGGCTAATGTAAGGTTACATCAAAAGCTCATTCAGTGTAAGAAGGAATAGAGAAAGAAGAAGGGTAACATCAAGAGCCATAATTGCGTGCAAGCATAAAAAGTCAACTGGCCCTCTACAGAGGAAAAGCAAAAGAAGCTATCACACATGAAGATTTGACATTTTTTTTTTTTTCTTTTTTATCTTTCAACAAAAAATAAAAAATAAAAAATAAATTGTATATTAGGGTGATTTATTTTTCCCCAGATTTCACAAAAATTCCTGCAGGAAATTACTATGCAGTAAATAAGAAAATGAAAAATCACGAAATCTTCACACAAGAATAAATAAAAATTCACATGTTTAAACATCTAAAAGCTATAATTTGAATAACATACAGAGAGATTCTACGATACCGTTACGAAACCATTCTTCGTGCTTTGTAACCGTTGGATCAACTATCCCCGACGGATACAAATCCTGGCGGAATGGTTCCGTACGCATCAAATCATATAAAGCACAAAACATAAATAAATAAAAAAAGAAACAAAGAACCGAAACTCATGTGATACCTCAGATTTTGTAGAGAGGTAGTGATAAGCAAGCTTGCCGTCGAGTCGAAACTCGTGCATGACCCAATTGGTCTTATCGCCCTTGGGCGCCCGACCCGTGTAGAAGACTAGGGTTTTCTTCATGCCCACCGGCAAGCCCGTTTTGGAGCTGTAGATCTCTCGGTCCTTTCCGGTCGCCTTCCAGTAACCCGCCTCCGTCGCCCGGTTCGTCCTGAGACCGGTCGGGTACTTCCTGTCCCGCAGGCTGTAGAAGTACCACTCCTTTTCCCCCATCTTCGCCTTGCCTGCCCACAGCCCACCCACAATTAAACAAATACTAAAAACATAAAAAAAAACACGAAAAACACGTTTTTTTTCGAAGAAATAAAAAACGTGTTTATAGTAGGGACCGACCTGGAAGATGCCATGGCTCGCATTTGTTGAGATCAACCTCGGCAATGGCGCGGCAAGTGAAGTTATTGGAGTGGAGAACTTTCTTGAGTAGGTAGTAAGTTATTAATTCTTCGTCGGTGGGGTGGAATCTGAAGCCCGGGGGCAAATGGGGCTCGTCGGATCTCATCGCTTCAAAGCAGTACGATAAACTCCTCATGTTGTTCGCCATTTATTTATTTATTATTATTATTTTTTTTTTGATGGGTTGATTAATGTGGGAGAATTATTTTTATTTTATTAAGGGGAAAAAGAAGTACGGTAGCTAGTGGTATGGATGGATGATGTATGTACGTCAGATGTGATGTGTGTTTGTGTGGAGGATGTGATTTATTATTATTATTATTTTTATTATTATTATTATTATTATTTTTATTATATTGGCATGTGACTATGTGAGTGATTTGAAAATTGAGTAAACTAATGTACGGTTGTGGAAACTTGGTCATCAAATCAAATCGGTTGAAAAAAAAAAAGTTTTATTGTATTTAAATTAAAATTGTACAAATAATTAAAATTACATTGCAAGTTTGGTCGTACACTATCGTTTCCATTTTTGAATGCATTCATTGTCTGTTATTCAATATAACTAGGCCTATAAACGAGCCGAGCCGAGTCGAGAATTGGTCTTATCGAGCAGGATTGAGTTTATTTTTAACTGGTCGAGCTCGATTTTTTTTGGCTCGAGCGCGAGTCGATAAAAAATTACAATAGCACGAGCTCGGCTCGAGCTCGACTCGAAATCAAAAGGCTCGAGCTTGGCTCGAGTTCGACTTGAAAATTTTTAAGTGGAAATGTAAAAGTACTATTAAACACTTATGCTAATATATATATAATAAGGGGTATTTTAGTAATTTAACTGTATCTCGAATCGCTCGACAAGGCAAAATATGGACTCGAGCTCCATTCGAGTTCAGTCTCAAGCAGCTCGTGAGCCGCTCGACTCGTTTGCAGCCCTAGATATAACAACTAAAATAGATTGTTAGAGCTGCCGACGGCTGACGGAGTATCATTGGGTATTATCTTCTTTGCCGATAATGATCTATTGAATGGCAATGTCCACATAAAAATAAAAAAAAATAAAAAAAAAAATAAAAGAAGAAAAATGGACACTAGAAAAATAAAAACTAAATAAATCAATCCGACAACTTGCATTTAATGAGAGGGCGAGAGAAGGTTGAAAAATTACTAACTTGAATTTTTATTTGTTGGTTTATTCAATTTTTGTTAATAGACATTTCCTTTTTAAGTTTTCTGATGGTGTATTTATGTTTTTTTTTTTTTTCGATTTTGTTATGGATCTATTTTATGGAATTATCTAAATAGTTAACAAATAATGTATCAAAAACACGTCTTATCATAAACAAATTTTGGACAAAATTCAGTGTATCGAGTGATCAATGACTGCATAAGGCATCTATCTCTGTACCATACAATTTTGGTTTTTATTACATATTTATGATTTAATTTGAAAAAAAAAGAAAAATATTTTTTCCCCTAATAATTCTTAGACAGTGAAGATACTTGAGTAGGGGTGAGCAACGGTACAACTGGTAAACAATCTCATCGAACGCAAAAAACCAAAAACGAACCTAGCAAAAAAATAATCGAATCGCACAAAAACTTAGAGAAAACCGAATCAAAATTCTTTTACATTAAAATAATCGATTGAACCGAACCGAACCGAAATACACTGTTTGGCTCGGTTTTCTGTTTTATCTCGTTTTTTCTATAAATTTTATTTAATTCAGTGTGATTCGGTGCAAAACTACACCGAACCGAACAAAATCGAAAACCAAACTTATGAAAAATTATAACGGCACATTTTTTCGACTCTACTTCTTATACGAATCAAACCGCACCCCGTACCGTAAGTAAAAAACCAAATCAAAGTCAAACTAATTTTTTTTTCACATTAAAAAAACTAAACCGAACCATACTGAATTGCTTGGTTCGGCTCGTTTTTTTTTATTTCGGCTAGATTTTGCTCTCCCCTACTTAACTTGTTGAGTGAATTTATAAAGAAAAAACTGCAACAAAATTAAAAAAAAAAAAAAAGAAGCATTTTAGATAGAGAGGGCCGCTTGGGGTGAAAAATTGAAGGGGCGAGCGAAAGAGAGAGATTCATCATAATTTCACCATTGATCGATAAAGCTGGTTCACATCTCATTATGTCAGAACAGTACAATCCTACTACAAGATTAGTTAATAAAATCGTGTGGACAGAGACAACACCTATATTATATAATAACAATTTATTTATTTTTTTAAAATTTTTAATTTTTAACCCATCCACATCCTATGCTATATTGCTATGCTAATTAGTCCTCTGTAAGATTCACTTTGTCTTCACTTGCTCTCTTTTTAAGCTTTTGTGTACTCTTTTTTTTGTCTGTTTTTGTTTATCATTTCGTGAGTTTCGAGTGCTCAAAAATTCTTTTTTTTTTT